GTTTTCATGCTCCCCACGACGGACCATAGATTTTCAAGGGGGTCATACTTCTCAATTGTTCCAGCTACTTCAGTTCCTCCCCACAAACCAATCAATCCACCCACTACATAGATACAGTTATCAACAACACAGGCACCAAAACCAACTCGAGGCGCATTTAAATGTGCTACYTCTGTCCAGACRTTCAAAACTGGATCATAACAATCCGTGGAATCAAATAAAAGAAGCGAGTCATCCTCTCCACCAATCACGTAAACCAATGCATTCAGAGAAGTCACACCGACATTGCATCTTGGGACTTCGAAGTTCGCAATACACGCATTATCGCAAGTGCGAGAAAACGAATCAAATTTTTCGCAGTTTRACAAAGCCGACCTATCGYTCCATCGKCCACCAACACTGCGRCTGTAACCTCCAATAATGTAAAATTGCTTCTTTGARGCTTGTCGTGGCTGCGAGAGRTTTCGTTGAGAGTTKATCCCAAGCATCTGATAGCTRCGATAGCTATTYAAAATGTTATCTAGCATTCGTTTTAAGCTTTGGTTWGCGCATTTATCAATGAATTGTTTTATATAGTTTTCCGATAATAAAGGAAGGCGAATTCGCTCAAGAATCTGACCTAAATATTCTCGCCTGCCAGGCAAATCATGWAGAATCCAATTCATAGCTGCTTCAAATACGTTGCTCTCTGTATCAACTTTGAGKTTTTCAGATTCAATGAGTTTTAAAATATATTKCTTATCTAAGCTCAGGAATTCCTCATTCTTTGCWGAWGATRCAAAGTTTCGGTGTAAATATTCAAGGGCTGAGTTCTCCAGTTCCATACAAGARTGTGAYTCTGCRAARAGGAAAAAGCCTACACAGTTTGAAGGATCCAAYTCGTGCAACAAAAACTCACAACAKGTCCGTTCAATGTCGTCTAACTGGAGCATCTTTGCTGCRGGAAGAAGCTGTTGAACATTTGATTCATYGACGTCAATTGCTCCGGTGTATATAAAGTCCAATATCAAGCTGAATGTTTCTTTTTCAATGCCGTGTATTTCCACTTTATCAGTGAAACTCTCTGCCATACCACCGCTTAGCAACACCTCGAAATAGGGACTGGATGCACTTAAAACTACGCGATGGATTGGGAAATTTTGCCCATTTACAATCAAAGTCCCATCGCACATGCGGTTTCCCTTGCGTAGATGATCAAGTCTGTTCAATAATTTTGAAGAATGTTCGTAAATTAAGCGTAATTTTGCTTCTTTTCGCTCAGACATCTTAAGCGAAAAAAACTTTTGAAAATAACAAGGAATCTTCCAGGCGTTCCTCGGGTTAGTTTACTATGACTTATGGGAATATGTTTGCGGGCTCACTTCTCCCAAGAGAAGGCGGACGATTTGAAATTGTTTCGGTTGAAGCGTGTTGTTGTTGTCTTTTGATTTCAAAAGAAGTACAAAATAATGGCTGGAACACCAGTACACAATCTCCAAAGAAGTGTTCTAAGAGACAGTAACTCGTTTTCTCCATTTGCAATCCCTCCGTCGCCAGCCATGACAAAACTAGGCTGTGGAACTGGAGTGAATGTTTATCGATTTAATCGAAAAAGTCTTACCCACGAAGGCCTAGAAAAGTCGCCCTGGGCTGTCAAGAAAGTTACAAAAAAAGCCCGCTCTAACATCAGTGAGCGTTTGGCTCTAGAGGCAAGTATTTTAAAAGATCTAAAACATCCAAACATTGTAGGATTTCGCGCTCTTACAGGCAACAAAGACGGAGAACTGTGCCTCGCGATGGAAGATTGCCATATGTCGTTAATGGACTTGATCGACGAGAGAGCCTATCTTGAAGAACATTTCTCTTATGAACAAGTCTTCAAAGTTGCCTGGTCTATCGCTAAAGCCTTAGAATACCTCCATGTAGAGAAAAAGATACTTCATGGTGATCTTAAGTCTGGAAATGTCCTGATACGTGGAGATTTTGAGGCGGTAAAGCTCTGTGATTTTGGGGTGGCATTGAAGCTGAAAGATGATCTGTCTGGTCTTGCTGATCCCAAAAAGCGCTATACAGGATCTGAGCCTTGGAAGAGCAAAGAAGTATTGAATCAAGACAATGGGGGGAGAGTTTGTGACAAGACAGACATATTTGCCTATGGCTTGACCATCTGGGAAATGTTGACCCTAAATGTCCCTCATGTTGATTTATTGGGTGAGTTTTTGMATTGAATATAAGTTTATGTACTTAAAGTTTCTGTTTTATTAAAAGCAACCAGGGGCGGATCCAGGATTTTCCTCAGGGAGGGGTGCAGGGCTCTCGGGAGGGGGTACACCCCACAAAAATCATTACCATGAAGATACAAAATAAGGAAAGTATTGTTGAAGGATACAGATCTCAAGATGGGTGCGCACCCCCTGCACCCACCAGCTGSATCATCCCCTGAGCAACAAATCTAGCAAACAAAACCTAAAAAAACATTGACGTGGACTAAAAGCTGCTAGCTAAACTTTATATATTTTTTTACAAGCGGACACCGATACTGATTGTTCAATGAGTGGTGAAGAGGAAGACTCGGAGGAGTACCTTGCAGCTCTAGGTACTCGCCCTCCTCTGACACGTGAGAATTTYGATCCATCGTTTTCAACTCTTATCGACTTGTTCCACGTCTGCACCTTTGAGGACCCTGACAAGAGACCATCAAGTAAAGCCATTGTTCAGATTCTAAAACCTTATGCAGAAAAGATCCTTAGGGAATGARAAATGGTTCAATATACAGGTAAATGAAGTTGCAATCTTAAATTACTATTAAAAATATTAAATTTTGTTTTGGACATAGTGGTAGTTAATGCTTATGTAAATGTTTATGCTACTAGAAAGTGTTAACTTGCTTTTTCTTGAATGGGTTATCTTAATTTTTTCTTTATTTTACTAGTAATACAAATAGAAAATCAAAGTGCTCAATCCAAAAGATTGTCATACTTGGCCTGGAAGGAAGATGTAAAATATATCTGTAGGCTGGTCTGTAGTCCMCACAAAGATTTAGATAAGTCAAAATGCTGTCAATAGTTGTTTTTATTTAAGTTGTATGTTTAAAGTGGAAAATGAAAAATATGTTATCTTTGTATCTCCAAAAATAATGCAAAATTTAAAATAAATCATGTTGYCAAACAAATYCCGTTTATGTATTTGGTRTCCCTGTGTTAAAMACACAGGAATCCCATCTTCCGTGACAAAAATGAAACTTTTGTTTATTGACGATTTGTAAAGACGAATCGTGATACTCCAATTTTGAAAACGATGTCATCTGTAATTACATTACTTTCTGTAATACGTAAACGATTCGGGTTAATCCCACATTRTCAATGGGCAGTGAGGTCAATGATTAACAAAACACAAGACCCGTGACATGACGCGCTACATCAAAACACATTCCTTAGTTGTAACATTGCCGTCAAATRCGACAATCAATTCTTATAGAGAATTAATATACGCCGCTTTTGAAAGGCTTTAATATCAAAAGCATGGTTTTCTTGATGTATTAAGAACGATGGGGGTAATAGTTTCAAAGAAAGATGGCCAAGAAAAGACTGCGAAAGTTCAACGAACTGCCGCAGTAGTGAAGGCATTCAAAGCAAGCCCCAAACCAGCGAAGAACTCYTTTAAAACAAAACATTCCGGTTACAATGACAATGGTTATCACACAGCCTATGATTCTAGATTAGGGAATTTTTCTCTGACGGGYAGAAATCCTGATAAAGGCTCACTTTCTTATGGATTACCCGAGTTGGAGGAGATTCACGATCCAGGAAGCCGRCTTGCCGGGACTACGGGATATTGGAATAGTTCTCAAGATACTTCTGATTCTATCCCATACTTTGGCGCTTGGAATGAAAGGGTACGATGAAACAGTTTTATCTACATTGAATTGAAATATGATTTAATTTGATTTTAACTTGATTTTGAGCGCTTTATGTCTTTAAAATCGATTGTTGTGCAAACCTGGTCGTAATGGTCGATAACAGAGGGCTTTATTTTTCATTTCAGGTCGTTAATGACGAGCTATGTCACGTGTGTGGAGTATACACCGCTGAACCAGTATCGCCGTGTAAGATCTGTTGCCATGTTTACCATCAAACRTGYATGAAAAGAAAAGGGAAGTTGAATGATCCYTGGGAATTAAAGATGTTTCAAAATGCGTCCARCTCGAAAGAGGGATGGAGTTGCCATAACTGCGTAAGTAAGCARYGCGYGCAATATCTTTCATCATCATGMAAC